TGCGAACGGTCGGTCTGTAATGAATAAAACGAATGAAGATGCATTAGAAAGAAAGCCAGTTGATTGCAATAGCAATGTTTGTGGCTTATTCATTGGGATAAAATAATAACTGATTGAAATATTCGTAATAATGTATCAGTTATTTTTGCTCACATATAGAGAAAATTTGTTGAAATTTCCATTAGAGAAATGTTTCTTTTTTCTTGTGCAGTGGTGATTTGTTGAAATTTATGCTGAAAATTGAAACACGTTTCGAAGAGTCAAAACAAAAATTCATCCGAAACAAAACAATAATATCACCTCTAATCATCAGCATCCTCAGCACAAACAAATTTTCACAAAATAAAATGGATTATTAATATTCACATGCTTGCATCTTTATAAAAATGAAACCCAAATGAACGTTGGCACTTTCCAAAAATTCCTTTATAAAATATCTGTCGAAATCGAACGAATTTCAGTGTTTCATCATCGTCAGCATTGTCATTGTTAGTGTTGTTGTTAAGCGCACTTGTCCAAGTTTCCAATCGAATATTTAGACCTTTAGCTGACAGCCGAACTTTCGATAGTATCTGATAACAGAAGGGTACCTGAACAAGTAGCTTAATAGATGAGAATGTAGAAATCAGCAAATATTGTTGAAGTTTTGTGCAAAGAATAAAGATTGAAGATTGTGATTCTAAAGTTTAAGATCTCATTTTTAGGATCATAAAATTTAAGATCATAAGATATCAATTCCAATTGCATACCTTCAGTCGTACGTCATCGTTATTCACTTCCTCAATATATCATTCAGTTCATCTCAAAAATNCAAAACTCATGCATAACATGTCACTGAGGAAGATTTTCATCTTTATTCATAACATTTCTATAATCGTTTCTCAGTCTAGAACGGTTTACGATCAAACTTTGAACTGAAGAACAACAATGAGGCGGTACCTCTTCTCTGTGCTACTGGGCGCAACGATCGCTTTCGCTGCTAATAGTAAGCTCCTGCAAATTTCATTCACCTTTTAATTTTCCTGTTGTTCTGCTTTTCTTTCAATGATTACCTCTCATAGGTTTGCTCATATTTGGCTTAACTCTCGAAAAAAAAGCAGGTGCTTCAAAATCTATAAAGTAAATTAGTGATTGACGAAAATGACCGAGTGATCAATGGTTGATCCATCCCACTCATAAGAGCTATATGTGAACATCAGCCACAAAAATCCATGAATCAAGCACTGAGCTCAGAAATACTTTTACGTATTCAGATGGAACCGTTCCGAAACAGCCATCTCAACCTACAGTACCAAAAGCAACAACGGCGATTAAAAATGCTCCGATTACAACGGTTCCCGGAAGGCCAGCAGTTCAAACAATCCCTCCAAAAGCAATCACTCCACCCACTCCAAAAGCAGCCACTCCACCCGCTCCGAAAGGTAAATTTAAAGAGATGCCAGAAATGCGATTTGAAGGACCGTAAAAGAATTCGAAAACTATTGCAGCAACAACTACCGTAGATACAACCTCGATCGTACCGCAGTCGATTCATCAAGAGTGTCCTTGTGATATCCGTAATGTATGGATTGACTTGGTGTTTGTGATTGACTCGTCACGAGCGGTTGGCTATCAGGATTATATGGCCGTAAGTTT